AGGTCAAAATTCTGAAAATTTTCTGCCGTTTTCAGCTTGTATATCTTGCTATTTTGTGATGTTTTCATGATGATATGAAACTATGAAATAAAATGAGAGCTTGCTTGGAAAAGTGCTATTTTTGACTCCCCGAAATAGGAATGAATGGGCCCGGCAGCGAACATGTGCTCATTATTCTTCGACGAACGGTACTTCTCTCATTTTTCTAATTTATGAATTAATAAACAATATCTCTTGTCATGTCATGCCTTGTGTGTACCAAACATGATACTCTTTATTTAATGGATGTGCATGACTCAATAGAGAGTTTGGTGTCCAAGACATAAGGGACAATTATATCACATGCTATTGCATGCTTCTCTTTAATTGACAACTTTTAGCATATAATCTCTTGATTAGGCTCATATAAGAGCTTTTGTTATTTCTTGTTGGCAATTAATTATTTGCTATAGGCCATAGCTATTGAGATTCATCACCCTACTTATAAGTGTGGCAATATCATGAATTCTCAATATGATTAGGTTGCACCTGTCGTTGCTAAACCTTAGCTTGCATGATAATAGTTAAAGGCTATGACATGTTTACAGTGCTAGTTTCTGCTATAGAAACTTTTTGACATGAGATTTGGGCATATGATATTTAAATTTATAGCCCTCATTGTTTTGTATATTTATTTGCCTAGAAGGTAGATTAAGGATTTTAATTCTCTAAGTCATCCTTTTAGGATGAATCTTGACAATGAATTCTTGACCAAAAATGGTCAACCTATCCCATCAATCCCCGAAGGATTGCTTGACGTTACTATGAGTCAAGTTTTTTTTACTAAGTCTAACTCGATGCATATCACAAATCAATCCCTCAAGGATTGTTATACCCCCTTTTTCACCTAGTACGTGGTTTCAGAAGTAACATTCCCTATCCGCGTTATTTTATTTGCGCAGTCTATTTTATATCACCACTACAACGTACCTCTAAAATGGCTATCAAAGAAACCTCCGTCTATTGATTACATACCGAAAGCCCATGATAGGGGATCAATACATATAAGTGGGTACGTTGACTGCATTCCTAATGAAGATTGTTTCTCGGCATTAGGGGGAGATAATATACTACTCCGTAGCTTTTTGGAATGCCAAGAAATTTCATAAGAATAGAAACATCTTCATTATTTAAATCCATGTACTAGTTAGATTGAACTGGAAGTTCAAAAGATAATCTATTTGCGATTTTAGCAAATAATCTGCCAAATACATCTATTGATCATACCAATCATAAAAGAGTGACTAGGTTCCATGTACCTTCCCCAACATGGACCAAATATATCTACCTATACTCCTTGACGCCAGAAGTGTAGGAGATCTATCGATTAAAAAGATATGAATTATAATACTAGATCTAGTAAAGAAATATTGTCACTCTTGAAATAGTTTGAATAATTATGTCCTGCAGACGTTCGTCCAGATGACGAAAAACCCTGGTAAGACTTATAGGTGCACCAAACAAACGTAATACTAGGGACGCGGAACGACCAGATCAAAATATCTTTGGGAAATGTTTAGAATCTGGTTGTTTTAGAAATTGCCATTATTTTTACAGATATGAGAGTTTTACAAAAAGGTTATAGTTGTCGACAACACAATTGCCATTACAAATTGCTCGTTATATGATAATCTGGATCCAGAGTTAGGCACCAGAAGTGCCATGACTATTTAATATATAAAGGAGCAATTAAGGCATAGCTCGACTCGCTAATATGAATAAATTCTCTTTATAGCAATACACCATTAAGCGTTAACCCTGAATGTTACAAATGGGTGTGTGCATGAAAGAGAAATAAGAATAACAAGGTGATATGATATGCAGCGAGTTTGTAGCCCCTATGGGTTCACGCAGAGACCCTTAATTGATTTTAATCAAATATACTCTCCCACGGTAAATGGCATTAAGTTCCGCTACATAATACAATTGGCAGAATAATAAATTTAGATATGCAGTTAAATTTATCTTGAGAAATCCCTGATGGATTCATAATTCTCGAAATGAGGATTTTTAAGTATTATTATGTGTCATTATTTACTCTTTAAAGGGTTGTGAATGGAGTTAATATCCTCATTGAAGGAATAATATGTACCATTGTGTGCTCGATAAAGGGTTGTTAATGAACTTATTTATTATTTATTATCTCAGTCAAGATTGATGGTGTAAACATCAATGGTATATATATAAAGAGCTTGATAATGTCAGCTCATGTTTAAAGACTGAGACTTTTGAAATAAAAAGCTTGTGAAAGCTATAAGTATTATCTCGACTTGAAGATCGAGTTTTTCTTTGAAGTTTTTTTATATACACCAGTCAGCCTACATCTAAAAATGTTTTTTCACATGTCTATATGCATATAAGTGTCATGTTTTTATCAAACTAAAGGTTGCCTAATAATCTCCTGAAGCAGATAAGGAACCTTTTTAGACTCGAAGTCCCTTACTTCATTATCGTTGGAGCACCATTATAGAACCAGAAGTTCCATAATTGTAACATATTTACGATGAAATTGATAGCAAAATCTAGTGCTCCCCCTACAAATGAAGTACTTGAATAATAATTAACATATCCTCCGGTATCTTCGAGATACAAAGACATGACATTTATGTAAGAAACCATGATACAGTTTTAATTAGGCTACTTGGGTACTGGCTATTTTGTTTGATCCCCGCAATGCCAAGTCCAAACTGGTTTTACAATGAATTTCCCTAAATGATCAAAATGAGGGCAATAACACTTGTGTTACACCAATGTTATATGAGCTCTAGAAGAGCTATATGATTATTGTACAAGATTTTTACTCTAGTGACAATCCAGAAGATTTGTCCAATCAATTTCTTCAAATTTTGAAATACATTTTATCATGTCGAACTTGAAGATTGTTATCTTCAGGGGGAGACGGGAAGTACATTTACTTGAATCAATCCGGAATCTTGAACGTAAAATCCTGAAGATTAAGTCATAAAAGACTAACAGTTGCACACTATTTGCAACGCATAAATACATAAATATCATGTACTCTTTTCCTCACTAGTTTTCCCCCATTGGGTTTTTCTAGTGTGGTTTTTAATGAGGCATGAGTATGAAATAATAATGTAAATGGGAAAATGTTACAAAATAATTGCTTCAGTCGACAAACCCCAAAATCCTGAAGATTATGCAGTTTGCGCCCTGAAGGCTTATGGTTGTACTCTTTTTCCCTTAACTAAGTTTTTCCCACAGGGTTTTCTTAAGTTAAGGTTTTTAATGAGGCGACCAAATACAATATATGTTTTTACATATATCATGTACTCTTTTCTTCAACTAGGTTTTTTCCCACGTGGTTTTCCTAGTGAAGTTTTTAATGAGGCATGAATGTATGCTATCCATATACCTTGTACTCTTTTCTTGTTTAGGTTTTTCCCACAGGGTTTTCCTAGCAAGTTTTTAATGAGGCAAGATCGTGGTGTTATAATGTCCAAGGGGGAGTGTTATAAATATAATTAAGTGTGGACATTATGAGTTGATTATGTAACTGATGTAACGGTCACATTTATGTCTACCATTATTACCTTCCGTTACAAATGTATATTATGTATATGTTTTGTTGTAATATGAAAAATACAGATGAATGAGAATATCCCTCCCTTTTTTCTCTCTACTGTTTAATTTTACAACAGAAATGATATTTTCGAGAGAGAAAAAAATAGAGTTTTGGAATTCTCAAATCATTCTACACAAGTATTGGAATTTATTAGCACTAATGATATTCAAATATTGAATATAAAATTCAATTCGTAACTCCCAAATTTGGGATAATTTAATCATATTAAATTTTGATTTGCAGTAACATGTGTGTGAGAATGCTTTTACGCCATATAATTTAAACTCTTAAAAGGAAATTATTGTATATAGACTAATGCAAATCCACATGCCTTTCCAATGTGGGACAAAGGCTCCTTCAAAGCCTTCCCAACTCAATCCATTTTCCCAATTCAAATGTGTACACTTTAAAAATCAATTTCTTATTCACTCATTATCTATTTTTGTGCGTTTAATATATCAAATTAAACATCTCACTTAAAGAACCTGAATCCATTTTTACCCAACCCAAATTAGAAGTAGACCCCATTGAAAATTATATCATAAAATGATCACTTTATATGTCGTTTTAAGCTAATTTTTTCAATAATCCCCAACATGATTGGTAATTGATTTTTCAAGACTTGGAAAATCAACACAATCTTGCTTGAAGGACGATCCCTATATAGGATAGGTAGCTATTACCCTTTGAACCTTCCTCTAAGAAGATATATTTACTTTACTGGTTGTCTGGTAGAATGCAATGTCTTTCAAACGTACTGCCGTTTGTGTAGATGATGATATATATCACATAGGAACCTCCAAGCCTTTGTTTAGTTCTTCATTGGTGTGCTCGTTTTGGCCATGGAACACCATTCTTAGTTCTGCAATAGTTTTTAAAGAATTGCGCCAAATCAACTCTCTTTTGAAGCGGCTTCACTTTTCTCTCACATAGGTGAGTCTTTCCCGATTATCTTGCATACTCACTCATGTTAGTTGACACTTCAAATCATTAAAGCATTAAGCATGCTAGCCTCGTACAGGAGTCGTTGTTTAATGAGGAGTGGTTGAGAGTCCGAGACCCCCACTATGGCACACTTCGTTACATAATTTAGTTGTCTCATTGAACCTATGTGCCAGCTAGGTTGGTATCCACTATAGAACTTTTACTAAAAGGGCTTTAATTTTATCTCATTCCTCATTTCAACTTCTCTATAAACTCTTTGCTTAACCATTTAGTTAGCGAATTCACTATATTACCATTTGACCTCACGTAGTTAACAGAGTTAACAGCCATTGTGAGACATTGTTAATGGTATTATTATGTATACGATGTATATGTCTAGACTTACCATTATACATATTAATTTGTACTCTTCTAATTATTGCTTAGATATTGAAATGCACACAAATTGGAGGTACATGTTTTTACCAACTAGGAATATCCTCAAAAAAATGGTGTAGCCATTCAACCTCTATGCAATACTTGTGTGACACCCCGTAATCCAGATTCGAATAAGGGATTGATTAAGTAATTAATCCTAAACCAATTGGTAATTTAATTACTTAAATTCCTGAAAATATAATAGTCGGGGACTAGTAATTGACTAGTCAACCCAAAGTCAATGTTGTACCTTAAGCTTTGTAAGGAGTTCCCTTGTTCCCTTACACCTCTTCATTTTAGTAAGGGTATTCATGACATTTCACCTTGTGTTGGTAATGCAAGCTAACCTAGTACACTCCTCATTCTTTCTCCTTACACTTTCCAAACTTTAGCTCTACCTTCTCTCTAAAAGTTAGATAGCTTTTCTTCCAAGCCAAGTTGGAGCTTTGTCAAATCCTCAAGGGTTGTCTCCAAGACTCTACCTTTCATACCTTTGAGCATCTAGGAGGGTAAGATCTACGTTCATATTGTGTTTTTAGTGTTTTCTAAGGTGTCTTTTCTTAAAGATAGAATCTTTATGATCTTTTGGTGTGTTCTTGAAGTGGGTTTGGAGGGTGAGCCTTATTAGGAGCTTGGTGAAGTATTAAGTGAAGGTTTTTGTCTACAAGAGGTAATCCATGCTCTACAAAATCTATTTTGCTTACCAATATGATGATTTATTGGATTCTACATGTGTTTTGCGATGAAATGTGAGTGTTTATGCATTGTCTTGTGAAAATGCATATCTAGAGCTTGTGTTTAGGGTTCTTGTATGCCATTGCTTGGTTATTCCTTTAATTCAAGTTATTTTGTTGTATTTGGTGAGATTTGGCATGTTTTGGACTTGAATTTGAGCTTGGTGTTGAAAATCCCCGAAGGGATTATTTTTGGCACAGGTACGTACCCGCGGGCGGAACGGCGGGCAGTGGCCTACCCGCCGCCCACCTGCGGGGAACATAAGGCCGGTGGGTGTGTACCCGCGGGCGGAACCACGGGTGGGGGCCTACCTGTGGGTCCTCCCGCGGGGAACAATATGTGTTGTTTGGGGATTTGTTCCACGTGATTCTTTTGACTCGGTATTTGGTCTTTTGACTTCCCGATGTTCTTTTGTTGAAATATTTGAGCGTGTTCTTGATGTTGCGTATGTCTAGAACTATATGGTAGGATTCCATGTAGGTTTTGGTGTCTTGAATCGTGCTATGTGTTCAACATTGTGATTCGTTGAATCGTGATGAGTCTTGTGTGTTCTTGGGAACTACGTTTGGTTTACCCGTTTGATAAGCATGCTAGTTCGGTGTTTAAATGCAAGCATGTGTGTTGTTTGTACCTTCCTATTGTTAATGATGACTTGCGTTATTCATCGTTGTTGTTGGACTGTGGTCCATTCCTTGATTGAGTATGGTTTCATATCTTCGTTGTGATCCGTTGATTGATTCTTGTTGAGGTGTAGTGTGTGTGGCTGTATCTGAATTGCACGATTAGTGGTATGGGACACTAGTCACCAAGGTACGGCAGTGGTTCTCGTGGTGGCCATGATGTGATTATGGAGTTTGTGACCTGTGTGTCGGGTTTACGTATTTCTTGGGAGGCATGTGTTTCCGTGTGTGTGATCGGTACCCTCTTGTACTATGAAGTTGGTGGATTTGTTGGCGGTTTGTCGGCGGATGGGGACGACAGTCCTCGGAGGGAAAAGGTTGGACTTGGTGTACAGGGGTCCTGGAGGTACAGGTTGGAACAAGCTATAAGGTTGGGGGTAGCCATAAGGTTGGAACCGGGCATAAGGAAGGCATATCAATTCGTGATGGGTGATGTCACGAAGGCTTGTGTAGTCGTTTGTTATAATAATAATAATATTATTATTATTATTAGTAATTGTTAAACCAAGTATTAAATTAGTTTGTTAGTATATTATCCAGGGGTCATGCAACATAGCAGTACGTGGAGTTGAATAGATTAGTATGTGGGTTATGGATTAGCAGTACGTGGATTAGTGATTACATGATCTCCTAATCTTTAGCTTTATTAGTGGTTATCATTTAGTATAAATAGATTGTTATTCTTCATTCATTAAACATCAATTCAATTAGTTATTCATTCCTCTCTCTTCTCTCTCTATATAAATATAATATATAGATATATTATATTTAATATATATTATAGATATATTATATTATATTTAATATATATTATATTAAATATATTATATTTAATATATCTAACATTTGGTATCAGAGCCAGTCAACCTTTCAACCCCGAGATATTTCCCGTAGTGAAATATGGCTGCAAATTTCAATATTGTATGGACGGGTCCCAAATTGGACGGGAAACTCGATTACAATTATTGGCAAATTATGATGTCCACGCATTTGCAAGCTCAAAATCTTTGGAGCTTTGTTGATCTCGGTCTACAAGAAGGAGCTGAAGCAGGCGCTATACGACGAGATAAATTGGCCTTGGGTCAGATTCACCAAGGTGTTCATTATTCCATTTTTAGGCAATTAGCTCGTGCTAAAACAGCAAAACAAGCTTGGGACATCTTAAAGGTGTCACACAAAGCAGTTGATCGGGCGCAGAAGTCTAAGTTGCAGTCGTTGAGAAGGTTGTACGACAATTGTGAGATGACCTCTACAGAAACAGTAGATGCGTATTTCACTCGTCTTATTGATATGGTGAATAAGATGAGGTTATACGGAGATACAATTGAAGATGGAGCAGTGGTTGAGAAAGTTCTTCGAACTATGCCGATGAAGTATGACCATGTGGTGGCTTCGATCACAGAGTCACACAAAACTGAGCTCTTAACAATTGCAGAGCTGAAAGGTATGGTAGAAAGTCATGTTGACAGGATTGCGTCAAAGTCAGAACCACTAGCAGAAGAAGCTTTGAAGAGTCAAGTCACCCTTAATGTGACTGGCACTAATCAAAGAGGTGGAGGATCTGGTAGAGGTCGTGGAAGAGGAAGAGGAGGTTCTAGTGGAAGAGGTCGTGGTAACTTCAATCAAGGAGGAGGACGTGGTAACTCCAACCAAGGAAGAGGTGGAGGTAATACCAAACAAGGAGGTAAATTTCCATTTCATTGCTACAATTGTGGCAAGTATGGGCACAAGATTGCAGATTGTTGGTATAATGAGGACAACAATCGTGGAAATCAAGCAAACATTGCTGAAAACACTGCTGAAAAGTCTGGTGAGAGTTCTGAAACTTTACTTTTAGCCAGCGATAGTTTTTCTGCAGATAAAAACATATGGTTTTTGGATACTGGGTGTAGTAACCATATGTGTGGGAAGAAAGAATTGTTTTCTGAACTGGATGAATCAGTCCAGTCTGAAGTGACATTTGGCAATAAGTCAAAGGTGCCAATTTTGGGAAAAGGTAAAATCTCTATTCAGTTGAAGGATGGTACTCCAAATTTTATATCCGATGTGTTCTATGTTCCTGAACTACACCAAAATTTGTTGAGTATGGGACAGTTGTCAGAAAAAGGATATAAGATACATATTGCTCAGGGGTGTTGTACCATTGAAGATGATAAAGGAGTTTTGATTGCAAAGGTAAATATGTCCCAAAATCGACTATTTCCTTTGAAAATTAAGCATACTCTCCTTGCTTGCTTTAATTCTGAAGTTTGTGATGAAAATTGGTTATGGCATATGCGATTTGGGCATTTTCATTTCTCTGGATTAAACTATCTTGCAAGAAAGGAACTTGTTTTTGATTTACCTGTTGTGAATGTCCCTAATCGTATATGTGAGATTTGTGCGATTGGGAAGAAGCATAGAGATCCCTTTCCCGTGGGTAAGTCAAGGAGAGCCACAAAGCAGTTGGAGATTGTTCACTCAGACCTGTGTTCGTTGGAGGTTCCCTCACATGGAGGTTGTAAGTACTTTATTACTTTCATTGATGATTTCAGTAGAAAAACATGGGTTTACTTTCTGCAGCAAAAGTTTGAAGCATGTGATGTTTTCAAACAATTTAAGGCTTTTGTTGAAAAGCAAAGTGGTTATGAGATTAAAATCCTGAGAACTGATAGAGGTACAGAATATATTGCTTGTGATAATTTTCTGAAAGAAAAGGGTATTCAGCACCAAATGACAGCCAGATACACTCCGCAACAAAACGGAGTGGCTGAGAGGAAGAATAGGTCTATCATGGATATGGTGAGGTGCATGTTGAAATCTAAGAATCTGCCTAAGCCTTTTTGGGCAGAAGCTGTTGCTTGTGCTGTCTATGTGTTGAATAGGTGTCCAACTAAAAGTGTGCGTGATAAGACACCTGAAGAAGCTTGGAGTGGGAGAAAACCCTCTATCAAATATCTCAAGGTTTTTGGATGTTTGGCATATGCACATGTGCCAGATCCATTGAGAAAGAAGTTGGATGATAAAGGTGAGAAGTGCATATTCATTCGTTATAGTGACGCTTCAAAGGCTTATAAACTATACAATCCTGAAACTAAGAATGTTGTTATAAGTCGTGATGTCACTTTTGATGAATATGGTGCCTGGGATTGGTTAGCTAAAGATGAAAGTTCAGTTGTTATTCCTGTTGTTGAAAATATTGTTGAAGAGCAACCTATTCCAGATAATGTCCAGTCTCCTACACAGCAGCCAGAGCCGTCAGTTCGACGATCTCAGCGCGAGCGCCACTTACCAGCTCGCTTGCAAGATTATGTTTTGGGTCATGATAATGACCTGTCTGATGAAGAGATTGTTCAATTTGCTCTCTTTGCAGATTGTGATCCTTTAACTTTTGAGGAGGCTGCTACAGAAACTCATTGGCTTAAGGCGATGGATGAGGAGATACGTGCCATTGAAAAGAATGGTACCTGGGAGTTAACTGATTTACCTCCTGGAAAGAAGCCAATTGGAGTCAAGTGGCTTTACAGAACGAAATACAAGTCAGTATATCCAACTTGAAGACGGAGATATTTCTTAAATTGAAGAAGGAAATTGGGATGACCAATATATCCAACTTGGTTTAAAGGAGGCAATGTTATAATAATAATAATAATATTATTATTATTAGTAATTGTTAAACCAAGTATTAAATTAGTTTGTTAGTATATTATCCAGGGGTCATGCAACATAGCAGTACGTGGAGTTGAATAGATTAGTATGTGGGTTATGGATTAGCAGTACGTGGATTAGTGATTACATGATCTCCTAATCTTTAGCTTTATTAGTGGTTATCATTTAGTATAAATAGATTGTTATTCTTCATTCATTAAACATCAATTCAATTAGTTATTCATTCCTCTCTCTTCTCTCTCTATATAAATATAATATATAGATATATTATATTTAATATATATTATAGATATATTATATTATATTTAATATATATTATATTAAATATATTATATTTAATATATCTAACATCGTTGTTGTGAGTTTCTCTTCTTGTGACGTGTGTAGTCACAAAGGCATGTGTTGCCATTGGTTGTGTCCTTATTCTCTTGTGTTATGCATGTCGGCTGTTAATCTACTGTGTGATGGTAGATTATACCTTGAGCCGTTCTCGTGAGTTGTTGTAACTCGTGTGGTTTTGGGATGTGTTCCCTTATCTTGTTGTGAGTGCTTAGAGTCTTGTGTTGACTTCTGGTCTTGGTTTTGAACTTATATATATACATATTCCGTTTCGCAAATGATTTTGTATATATATCTTGTCTATGTATGATATTTCACATGTATTGGTGGGTTACCAGCAGTATTCGCTGACCGGGCGTCATCCCATCTTTTATGTGTTTCTTTCAGGTGATGTTTAGACGTGAGCGCGGTCTAGAACCTGCTAGTGTAGCTCCCATGTTTTGTTGTTATGGCCTGTGTGCCAAGGATAGACTTTAGTACTTTGGACATGTATGGATTTTAGATTGTGGTTTATGCAGATGTTAGCCTGTGCGTTCACCTCTGGGTGAGCGTGGCATAGCACCCCTTTCGTTTCCAGTTTATATAATCCTTTTCAGTCTTCCGATGTGTTTGATGTTTTGTTTAGATATCTGCATGTTTTAGGCTTTATCTAGCATGGAAAATTAGGGGGTGTTACAACTTGTCTAAGACTATCAGCTCATATTCCATCGTGGATCTAGCTATCACAATTTGTTTTGAGGATTTCCACAAAATGGTTGCACCGGCTAACGTAAACATGTAGCCACTTGTGGACTTAGAGTCCTTAATATCCAATATCCAATCATTGCTATACCTTTCTAGTACAACTGGATATTTAGTATAGTGTAGCTCGAGGTCACGAGTATACCTTTGGTATGTCATAACCCTTACTATTATCTTCTAGTGAATATCACCGGGGTTGCACATATATATATCTATTGAGTTTGCTAACCGCAAAATCAATATCCTAGTTTAACTCATTAGATACATCAAGCTTCCAAAAATCCTAGCTTATTCTACTTGAGATATAAACTCTCCATGATTCTTAGATAGATGATACGTTTGTATCTAACGATATCCTAGCTAATTGGTTGTCATCCTTGTTAAAATTTTCAAGGATTTTATCAACATAATGAGATTGACTTAACACGAGACCATCAAATTTTTTAATGATTTTAATCCTGAGAATTAAATCAGCAAAACTCATGTTTTTCATGTCAAATCTGAAATTTAACATGTTCTTTGTAAATTTGATCATTTGGTCATTACTACCCACTATGAGTATATCATCCACATAAAAATAAAGAATGATATAATTGTCTATCAAATCATTTATGTAGGCACACTTGTCCCTCTCATTTATACTAAACTCATTGGTCATCATTTCTTGATCAAACTTTATATGTCATTGTTTAGGCGTTTGTTTCAAACCATACAACAATTACACCAATTTATAGACATTCTTTTCCTAGCTTGGAACCACAAAACTCTCAAGTTTTTCCATATAGATTTCTTCATCTAACTCACTTGTTGGTTTATAGACTTTCGGGCAGTCTACCGGTGGTCCAACAGAACTGAAAAGTGGCAATAATTCGTCAGAATGAGGGTAGTATGCGCTAAAAGTATACTCACAAATCCATCATGTATATTATGAATGCTTAATCCCTGTAGAATGCCCGCAAAAGGCCTTTTATACAAAGCCGAGTGACCGTTGCACTCAGCAACTAATTAATGCCTTAATTGAACTAATTATGAAAAAATAAAGATCACAATTACACATTAATCACTGCCGACTCGTTGTCCTTCTCCACAACTGTAACGCCCCCAAATTTCAAAACCCAAATATTAAAAAATAAACAACATTTCTTATTTAAAATACGAAAATTAAAAGCGGAAGCGAATTTAAACTTTAAAGACAAGTGGTGCTACGCCATGCTTGGGCTACCAACCAAGTCCAAACGCACAGCTAATGGGGTTCTATCTAACTTCAAATCCATGACAATAAACAACCATATAAACTAATCCACAATCTTTACATCTCAACTTCACCATTCTAGTTCTAATACCAAAAAACTATACCATAAGTCCAATCCAAGGACTATGAGCTCTACATTGTGCTCTCAACTAGCCACAAACTTCAAGTCCTGAAAACATTATGGGTTTGGAAAAAAAAACAAATAACAGAATTAGTGTGCATGGATGAAGCATTATCCTATGAAGAAAGACCTGTAAGAGTCCTAGATACGAAAACAAGAGAAACCCGCAGGAAGACCGTGAAGATGGTCAAGGTCCTTTGGTCCAACCACGAGACCAAAGAAGCAACTTGGAAACTTGAAAGTGCAATGAGGGAGCGCTACCCCAACCTGTTCACCCAAGGTACCTTAGTTTAAACCGTAAGATATGTCAGTTAGAATTAGTCCCGTTATGTCCAAGCTTCGGGGACGAAGCTTCTTGTAAGGGGAGGGTGTAACATCCCGTGTTACGGCCTTCGAGCTCAGATTAATTAATTAAATTAATCCTGTTATCAATAATTAAAAATGATTTAATTTAGTTAGGGTTTTCGTAATTAATTAACGTGGTCCATGATGGATCATGTATCCTTGCCTAAGCCTGTCAGGAATAAAGAAAGCGGGCCTTGCCATTCAGATTCCAAGTAGGATTTCTTGAATATATAAATAGGGGATTAGAAAGCATTTAGAACTCTTTTACCCCTCATAACACTTAATACACAAATTGCATAGGAAGCTTAGCCGAAGGAGTTCCCCACCACCAAGCCTAGGGAAACCAACTAGAGGAAAATCTTAGTAGAGAACCTTAATAGCCAAGGAAAGATTAATTAAGGTTAAGAGGTAACCCATGTCTTACAAAACCTATTTTCCTTGCTATATCTTATTTATTGACTCCTTTGATAATCGTATGTGTGATTCCGTGATTGAGTCTTGATAGAGGCTTGCCTAGGGTTTATGTTGTGTTTATTTGATAATCTTGATGATCTTGATGTTGTGATGAATTATATGTGTGATCTTGAATTTGAGCATGTCTAGAGCTTGTCGTTAGGGTTTATCTGATGGAATCTTGGTGTTCTTGTGATTCTTGTCGTCCTTGCATGTTTAGGAATTGATTCCTGAATCTTGATATGTTAGGAGCATGAATTTAGGATTTGTTTGGGTTGGTTTCGTGGCTTAATTCTTGTGGTTCAAGTCTATGTTGTTATTGTTGCGTATTGGGATGTATTCGGACTTGGTTTTGGGTTTAACGGATGAATTCCCGGGTGGGAAAAGTACCAACGTACCAGCGGGGGGTCGGTGGGGGGACGAACCCCCACCTGACCACCCGCCAGGTACCCACCATGGTACCAGTGGGTGGCCGGTGGATGGACGACCACCCGCTGTGCACCCGTTGGTATATGGTACCGCCCACCGACGGGTGGTTGACCACCCGCCGTACGCCCGTTGGTACGGGCGGGGTTGTATGTCGTTTTGTCTCGTTTGTTGTTTCCCCGTGCCCCGTTGTGCTCCGTTTGATGTTTATGTGTCTCGTTTGATATTACGGGTACCGTTTTAGGAGTTGTGAGTCGTGGTTATTGCATGTGGGTTAGGTTAGTATCCCGTTGGCATAAGATGAGAGTTGCATGATCCCGTGGGTGTCTTGTGGTTGTCTCGTTAGCTTGGGAAGTAGAGTTTAGGCTGTGTCTTATGGGTTGCGTGTTTATGTTGATGTCGTTTGTTAATGGTAGCCTACGTGATTGTTGTGCTTTCCCTTTGATTGTTCCTTGCTATGTGTTGATGTGTATTGATTGTTATTGTTGTTGAGCAGTGGCCACTGTTGTTTTTGCGTGTGTTGATTGATTGATTGTACATGATGAGAAAGAGATGTGATTGGTTGAAAAGAAAATGTTGGCGGATGGCACAACGAGTGTCCGGTTTTGGTGCTAAAGGCCCAGACTATTCGGTTATCGTGCTGAATGCACGGACCATCCTTTAACTTGCTTACTAAAGGCAGGGGTCATGTTATAAGTGCTGCGGTGCCATGTCTTCGTGCTATATGCAAAACCCCTTGATAGTGGTTCTAGATGCACGGATCATATGTTAATGGTACTGCGGTGCTATCAGATCGATGGTTATGTTGGAGGTATGTTGGTGGGGGCAAGTAGTTGCCCGGAGGGATAAGGGTGTGGCGTTATAAGTGTAACACCCCGTGTTACGGCCTCCAAATCAATCTATTATTTAATTACTTACCCTAAAAAGAGAATTAAATTTCATTATTTAATTAGGAAGAATCCACTATAGACCATGGACCCTTATCCCAAAAACCAATCCCTTAATCCTACAAGAAATAGAATTAGCAAACCCCTACCATTCAGACCCTAATTAGGACTCTTAGATATATAAATAGGGGCATAGGAAGCACCTAGAAGACACACCACACAAGAATTCCCAAGCATTCTCTTATCACCAACATAGGAGAAATCAAGAAGAGGAGATCTTAGAGGAAGACCCTTAATAGCCAAGGAATTTAATTAAGGCTAAGGGGTAACCCATGTCTCAACAAAACCTATTTTCTTTGCTATAATCTTCCTCCTTGGCCCCTTCTCTATGCTTGTGTCTTGATAAATCGTTTATGATGATGATGATGATGATATGATCTTGATGATTGATGAGATGATTTTATGTGTTGATCTTGATAATCTTGATGATTATGATAGAATCTTGATGATTGTGTGATGTTCTTGGTTTTAAAGATAAACAATGGCTTTGATGATTTGAATATGGTTAGAGCCCTAGGTTGAATTGGGAATTTCGTAATATGATATTCTTGGTATATTTCGGTGGGATTTCGCATGTTTGGGTGTTATTTATGTTTAGAAGTCATGTTAAGATTTGTTCAATATGATTCTTGGTTTTGATCCATTATTTGACTACGTGGTGTCGTCGTTTATGTTTAAAAGTGTCTAAACATGGTTTCGGGTTCCACGAAAGATCCCGGGACCAATATATTGAAAAAGAGTCAGTGGGGGGGTAGGTGGGGGTAGGGGGACCCGCCACCTACCCGCTGCCCAAATTAACATCCCCAGCAGCGGGCAGCCGGCGGGCATGCGATTGGTCCCGTGGCTCCACCAAAGTATGCTTATGTGATAAGGATATTGATTGAAAGATGATATGAGTGAAGTGAAAGTAACCTGTGACCGTAGATATATATATATATATATATATATATATATATATATATATATTACCTATATTGTATTTTAACGCGTTAGAGTGAGTTACCACCATCATTCGCAGAACAGATATATTTGGCTTTCAGGCACAGATGATTAGCTACCGGAGCGCGCAAGAGGACCTCGGCTTAGATAGTTAGTCTTTCCTTTCGGCCTGCATGCCTTGATGATGTAATATTTGAGGATTGTTAGTAGAATAGCCTGTGCATCTGAGTTCTCCATCTCAGATGTGGCATAACACCTCGGACCTTATGTTTAGAGTGCTCCATTGGGATTTATTTAATAGAATTGCTTTCATATTATAAGATTGAAAAGTTTTTAAAATTTCGGGGTGTTACAGATGGTATCAGAGCCTAAGTTTGACCCTAGGATAAAACTCTTAAGATAAGACTTTAGGACATTAGACTTAAACTCTAGGTATTTAGGAACATAGGATCAGGAATCTTAGGACGC